CGGCTAATAGTTTTGTTGATTATATACATTAAAAAAAAAAACAAAATGTAGTGGGTGACAGATTTAGCAACCCAAGTTTGCCCACTTCTTGTTTATGAGAATAAAAAATAGAAACCCAAAATTTTGATTGGTATTATTTTTTTTCTCCCTCTTGGGTTTTTGTTGCTTCTTTAATTAAACCCACTTTTCTATTTAATTTATTTAAAGAGATGTGGACTTTGGTTATTTAATTATTTGTTCATGGAGGGTTCATCTCGTAGGGGTGTTATTTGGTACAAATCGGATCAGACCAATTTTTTTTTCTTTTTTAAATAATGGATTCTAATACTAAAAAAAATAATTTGTAGAAATTTTTGAAGAGAGAGTGAGAGCAGTGGCAATGGTGATGATGGAAGAGAGACATCCAATTTTTCGACTATTCAAAATTCACCCACTAATGTCAATTCAGCATCAGAAAAAGAAAAAAGGAAAATCAAGTTATTTTATTCTTCATCTCAAAAAGCTCCCACCTTTCTCTTCAAAATTACATCTTGCTGGCCTATTTTAAATCCTCAAACTCATAACACAAAATCAGTAGCAATTGAAAACCCATCCAACTTTTAAGGTTGACCTCACTGGAAATTTCCTACGATTTCATAGAAGGATAAAATTTTTTATATTTTTTAAAAAGTTATAAGACAAGTATTCCTCACTTTTTAAATATATTAAAATCATTTATATTAACAGTTCATCAAATTAGCCATAGTATAGTGATTTTATTTTCTTTTTTCATATTTTATCAATATTTTTCGTAACACTATGAAAATCTCCATGTTGAAAATGTTTTAATAGTGTCTTTAATGTATCATATTTTAACTTACAATTTTATGAAACTGCACCTTAAACAAAATTAATATGGTGAATTTATTCTTTTTTTATTTTTATTTTTTGTATTGTAAGTTAAAATATAAGATGATTATCAACACCCATCTCCATAGGTTCTGCTGCCCTTTGTAATGGAGAAATCAGTCAAGATTCTCAAACTCAAAATAAAATAATAGTGTTACGTGGGGAAAAAATTGAGCAGCCACGCGTCCGAGAGGAATGCCCAACAAATAGCAATCAAATGAAGGGAAATTGGACAGGGATACACGTTCTCTAAGACCGTTGAAGTGACTAATTCCTGGAAATTAAGAGGCGTTGAGGACAAAGAAATTGTTAGAGTTACCAATTTTATCTAGTAACAACATGCTTGATGTTAAGAAAAGATCTTTTACAGGAAGGTTGGCTAGAGATTTTTTGTAAAAACGCTAGCCCCATCAGTTCATAATGAGAGTATTTCAATCTTTTTTGATTTCATGTATTATTCTAATCTCATTATGCGCATCACATAAAGGGGGAGCCGTATGAGATGAAAATCTCACGTACGGTTCTGGAACGGAGATTCTTTGAATGGAATAACGAACGACCGTAACAGACGTCGGCTCAATCCGAAGGAAATTATGCGGAAGCTCTACAGAATTTCTCTCGTGACTTTTGACTTTTATGTTTTTTAATCACCATTTTCAAAACTCATGTTTTCTAAGCGTTCGCTAGTTGATATAGGATCTTGTGGAACATGATTTGATTCTGCAAGCGGTTCGGTACAAATGAAGAAATTTCGAACAAAAGGATCGGAACTCGCTGATAGGAAAGGAGAGAAAAACAAAGCAATGCCAAGAGTTCCGTCAATCCGCTATTCATCGATAGACGAAGCTCTCTCTTTATCATCTCGTGCCAGATGCAACATCACCCAATTGTCAATTTACTTTCACTATCCATCCACTCATTTTTAGCCCTCATTCCCTCTCTATCCATCCCCTTTTTTTCCAGAATATTTTTCCCAGTCTATTTCCCTATTTCCCTCTCTCTTTACAGTATTTTTTTTTCTTCTAACATTTTTCATTAACCCATTCTTTCTCTCTTCCGCCGTGGGTTTTTTTCTCTCCTCTATAAAATTTTCTTGGGTTTCTCGTTTCTTCTTTACTCTAAAAAAACCCTAAATCTCTCGACCTTCTCTCTTTTTTTCTTTTCTTTTTAACGAGCAGCCTCCATGATTCCGGTGAATTTCAGCAATCGCCAGCAACGGATGCATCAAAATCGACGAGGGAGGTCGTTTGCCAAACTTTTTACACAAAAAAGGAACTTGCCAATCCATGGGTATACCATGAAGTTACAAAGGTTGTACCTGTAAACCAACCTCTAGGGGAAAGAGCAATAGACCAGACCAACCTACAAAAACGAAACGGTCCCTCCGTAACCAGTCATCCATAATATCGAATAAATCATTTTCGTCTTTGGT